CTTGACATATGGTGCTCTATAATCCATATGCAGGGGTCGTGCTAATCTGCAATGCCTGAATGGCAACCTCTTCTCTTCTCCACAACATCCCCTCCTGCTTTGTGAAACCTCTGCTTCAACAATCTGAATTCTAGCTTAAGAGCCATTACCTGTTACCTTCGTTGCCTTCTCTCAATTGATCTCTGAGCCTCAATGCTGGGGACTCTAGAGGCAGGTCCCACCCGGAACAAAAGTTTGAATCATCAAACATGCGTTCTCTGATCATTGTTGCCCGCTCCGCTCTATTGGTTGCATCCGCATTGCTCACTACTGTTCTGCACCGGCGACAAACTCATATGATCTGCCGCTCAGATCTCATTACAACAGCAGCTTTATAAAGTTTAGATGCATCTTCGCACCCTCTGGGTGTTGATTCTGGACCTAGTCCTTCATACAGTACATAAAAACATGGCACCACTATTGGCACCACTGGATGTACAGGAATATCCTGAGAATTCCAGTGACTGACGTGCCAACTTCCTGGACCATTCAATGTTCAATATTGTTCTCTTTGGTTCGCCTTGCCTCTTCCTTGCCTCTTCCTTGCCTCTTCCTTGCCTCTTCCTTCTTCTTCCTTCTTCTTCTTTCTTCTTCTTCCTTCATCCTTCTTTCTTCTCCCATTCTTCTCTGAGACTCTGAGATTACATGAGCGTAGCATTGGTCGCTCCTTTTTGACCAGTGTAGCATTGGTCAAAAGTCTTGGCGTGTTGCGCTGCGTCCTCTTTATGCAGGGGCTAGGCTAAGCTTTCACAGAAATGGAATGGAACATATATTTTAGAGCACTGGGCAACACAGGACAACTGTCATTAAAACGAAAAACTTGAAATGCCTGCGATTGAGGCTGGGCAAATGCAAAGCGGCAATTGAAATTCAGGAAATGGTTCAGGCCTCCGTATCCCCCATCATCGAATGCTTTGCCACCCTGATTCAAAGAGGGTCAAACAGGAAATCAGGCGGCACATGCAACATGAAAGCATTGTACCACGATCCGGTCGTGCCCAGTAGGAGTCCTGCCCACCTTTACAAGCTAAACAACTGCTGAACTACTGGCTTAGTGGAAGGGTTGGTTGGGCCCTGTTACGACCTTGAAGAATGACTTTGGAGCGCAGGCGCAACCGAAACGCACACCTTGAATTGAACCAAGCCCGCCCTCAACTTCCATAAATCCCAATGAACAGCAAGTTTGTTGCACGAAGAGCCGCCGGCCTTCGCAAAGCCTTGACAAACGTGCAAACTGTGATTATGAAGATGCACAATTACTCACCTCTTCCAAACAGGATATCAAGCTAATTAGTCCATGCTGATTGTACCTCAAGGGAGGAAAGTCTAGATTGGTCACCAGGCCAGGAATTTCGGGCATAGGAATTTCCAGGCTGCTCTTGAAGACATGTTTTAGTTCCAGAACTGCAACTTCAAGTCGACTAAGTTCGCCAATTAAACCGAGACTTCATAGTTAAATCCGAGACTTCAGGCCTCGCTAGCATTCCAATGCGTTTGTGTTGAGTCTAAAAGGCATGTTTAGTCCAATGAGCAACGTGTTCGACAGGAAAATCCCGCTCAATTTACATTGAAGACTGAGGAATCTTGCCTGCATCTTCCCAGCTTTTGCCCTGGCCAAAGAGCTGCCCCCAAGAGAATAGACCGACTGAAGTAAGGTGAGATGAGCTGATAAGACTGAGGTACCACCCAAATGCATCTGGTTGGATCTCACATAGGATGCATAAAGGTCAGTCCATTCGAGAGCTCCCACATATGGCCACGGAAGGGCGGCCGCGTGGAGATGACGCAAGATGAGGTGAGATGGAGACTGAGGCGTGACCGCAACATTGACAGCCTGGAGTTGTGATCTCTGTGGAGCTGACAATCCGTGTGAAAACAGACAAAGAACTCGCACCATTTGTGAAAGGAGGAATGCAGGCTGGTCCAACCTCTTAAGTGTTTTGCGGCAAGGTGCCTCATCACTGGCCCAAAAATGGTGTTTGTAGCCAATGCGAATTTTCATGGTAGTTGTTCCCCACTCCAAGCGAAGCACATTACTCCCAAGCCTTGGCACCACCATGGCCTGTGGGACGACAAATGGAACAAAATGGACCCAAAGGGTTCGGAATGGCCTCCAACCTAATAGCATCTTGCTCCTAGTAGCCCCTAGTAGCGTCCTTGCTCCTAGTAGCGATGCCAGGAGCCCCTAGTAGCGTCCTTGTTCCTACTAGAGATGGCCTCCAACCTAATAGGAATGGCCTTCAACCAAAAAGGAATGGCCTCCGACAAAATCTTCCAATCATGAGCACAGGTTTGGCCTATGTTGAGTACGACGAACATGAAGAGAGGCCAACATGGACAACCCGTGGACAAGACAAGTTTCCAAAATCAACATGCACAAACAATAAGTTCTGCACCTTTCTTTCCACCTTTGCCGCCCATATCCACGAACCGCTGCAGGCGTCAGTAAAATATGTTCGGTGCTGCTGGGTATGTGTGTGTGGTGTGTCAAGGTGTATACATATCGGATCTGCATGATGCTTCACAATGTCGGTTTCTTTCTTTCTTTAACAGCCGATTACTATATACTGTAGAACCGACCTTCATCAACTGTTAATTGTCACCCTATGATAAATCCTTGCTTGTAGAAGCGTCTTATCAGGTTGCTTCCCAGTCAAAAGCTTGGAAAAGCACACTGTGTCATTTTAAACCAGGCCAAGCCTACTTTGCATCTGAATAGCTAACTGTTGCTGTCATTGTGACTGAATAGTTTGTCAAATGTTGGCCCTACTGGCTGCCGACATTCATGAAAGAAATCCTATGCCGCCCCAAAGACAATATTTACCCTGCCACCGACACCCTGTGGAGTACACGTAGGAACTGTGGAGATGGCATTCTGATGCGGAGACATGATCAATCAGAGCATGTGACTCTGATCTCTCTTGGTTGCAGAGGCTCTTGTAATGATTGCCAAGCTTCATTTTTGCATGTAAAATACAGAACTCAAGCCATAGCAGCACCATTAAATCGTGGGCAAAAAAACATGGAGTTGAACACCCGAAAGCCATGATCTATGCAAGCAAACCGCATCGAAGACTTTCAAGTCGCATCATTTTTCAAGTCACAGTGCAAATATTGCACGCAACCACTGCAACACAAAGAAGGCCTTGGTTGAATCCACTGATGAAAAGGCGTCTGCAGCAAACGCATGAAGCAGCGCTGAGACAACACCAAGAAGTTTTGTGCGTGTGCGTGTGAAGAATCAAGACATTCAAGTCTATGTTGCACGTCCTGCCAAACATGTTGTAGTAGCATCTTATGCAGCAGTTTGCCGATCAGGCGACACGTTGGCGCAAGTTGTCGCAGATTGCTTCTCCAACGCCGCAAGCCTGAGACCAAGCAAGCACTGCTTGACATGACGTTTCAGTTGAACCATATATCATACACTTCAAATGTGCTAGTTGAACCATCATTCCCGATGTTGCCCATTGTCTATCTAATCACCAAAGGCCCGAACCGCGTGGAGCTAAGGCCTCACACTGCGCTGGTGCTTTCAGGAAGAAACCACTTCATGATCATTCAAAGATTCAAAAAACTTATTTCATAAAAACAAGGAGAAGACCTCCAATAAACGTCGATATCGACTTGGTCGAGGAGGGTCCTGCCATTGAAAAGCTTTCACCTATGGATTTACTCAAAGTCTGCAACAAGACCTGCAAAGTCGGTTCAAATGCAAAGTCAAAGTATGTTCCACGCTCTCCGCCTCTATGTCAAAGTCAATTCGTTCCAGGCCGTCAGCACCCCGGCAAAAGGGACAAGAAAGACGACCTGGAAGAAACGGCTGGCCGCTACTTGGCTAGCGGCCCTTGGCGGCTACAGCTGTCTCTGCTTGTGGCGACTGTCCCACCTGTTGAGTCAGTAAGTCGCTCATGGCACTTTGCGCAAAGGACTTGGAAGCAGCACTTGGTCATGATTGCCTGGTTGCCTGGTTGCACGGCATCAGTAACAAGCAACCGTATACACTACTCTCCTCAACTTGGGCTCTGTAAACGGATTCCCCAAAAAAACCGCACGCATATGCACTTCAACAGCTTTACATCAACAGACCTTTGTGCGAGGGCTGTTCCCTTCAGCATCGCCTTTTCACAAATGTCGGGTTTTTCAGTTTTGAGTGCGGGAGAAAAACCCTTCAAATGAGAGTAATGGTAAAAAAACTATATTTTTGGGCCGCTTGGCCTCCTTACTTACTGTAATTATATAAGTAGGTGCCTACTTTATTAAGTAGGGAGGTAAGTAAGTACGGAGGAAGTTCGCTACTAGCAATAGGAAGCTCCTACAGATGGACGCAGGATAGCTCACACTCACACTAATGATTTGGTTCCTAGATGCTTAGGGAAACTTAACTTGCAAAGCAAATCACAATTGATTGAGTCATTCATTGTGAGAGCGGACATTCGAAGAACTTGCAAAGCGTTTCACAAGAAACAACATGGAATATGGAACAATGATGCCAAGGATCGTGCAACGCGTTTCTACTGCACTGCTTAGCCGTAGCCACGGGCAATTGATCGAGCTTGGACCGAATGCTTGGCAAGTGCACCCCACCACCATGTTGGCTCCCTTCCTTCCATCCATCGTTGTTTTGTATCTTGGGGCAGGGTAGGTCGCTAGGAAGATGGAAGAAGATATGTTTGTAGCTTGAGTAAAGGACGTAGTAGAGTGAGGGCTCTTAGATTTTATTGAAAAGTAATCTTCAGGCCTTCAGACCTGTGTTTTGACTTCTTTCTTCCCCCCTGCCTATTCTTGCATGCAATGCCTTTCTCATCCCTTCTGGCCAACTGCCATTGGTACAGCAAGCGTCTCACTTGAGATCCGTAAAGTCTGCATGAAGGGCCAACAAAGATCAAGAAGAAAGATCAAAGCAAACGACTTGTGGAAAATGCGTCGAGAGTCAGGAAACCTTGGCAACTGAAAGAAAGCGGGCCGATAACAAGTCTTCAGGCAAGGTAGCGCTACAGTCGTAGGGTGCTGCGATGTGTAATTAAGTGTCCCTAAAAGTCTACGAATCAACTCGGTGCGAGCGCTTCTTCGAAGCTCCCCCCGCCCTCAAGGCGCGGGGAGCTTCCTTGAGGCATGACCTATCCTGCCTTAAAATGCTTAAGCATTGCCAGCGAACTACTCGCCCTTACTTTGTAAGTAGGCGCCTACTTAATTAAGTAAGGAGGCAGGGCTACAGCCTTTTAAAAAACAATGAGAAATAGTCTGCAGTTGCTTGGCTCGTTTGTGCTCGTTCGTTCTGCCGATCTTCCGGATGCCACGGGCATCACTCTTGCACTGTTGAGTTGGGGCTTGTTAGGGAATTGAAATGGTAACCAACTGCTCCGTCTTGTTTGGTAACCAACTGTTACCCGTGTTGCTCTTGTTGTGATTGTTACCATATTGATGTCTTGGGGCTGGTCGTACTAATGTCAGTTCTTGATCAGAAGCACGCAGCAATATCTTTTGGTGTTCGTCTCAGATGTGCCCGACAAAACTCATGCTGGCCTTCTTTGTTGGGCAAGAAAGTAAGACGCCAAGCAGGTTGGAGGCCCATTGCTAGTAGGTTGGAGGCCATCGCTCTTAGGTTGGAGGCCATCGCTAGTAATTAGGTTGGAGGCTTTTGCTCTAGATTGGAGGGCATCTCTACTAGGCTGAAGCCCATTGCTAGTAGAAGGTGTCGTATGAACCACTGGGCTCGTGCTTTGGTGCACGCTGTTCTAGTCAAGCACAGATCGCTGCCTCCAGTGTAAGCGTCCACACAAATGGGACAATCTTTCTCCTTCTGCCGGAGCCTCATGAACAGGCAGAAGGAACCCATTCTCGACAAGAAAGGTGCAATTAATTCAACAGTGATGAGCCAATAATAAACCAGGACGGACCATGACAGAAGGCTTGATCTACGTGTCTGCTACAGTCTTCTGTCAAAACCTGAAACAGGACACCAAGTCACTTTGCCCCGCCAGAACTCCAAGCCACTGGTTTGGCAACCTGGCCCAAGCTCGACTTACAATTCAAACTGAGGTGATCAAACAGTATACACGAAACCCTGTGACAAGGGCACCTAGTTCAATTGATCTGAAACTCAAACGAGCATAGTTTTTCTCAGCAAAATGCTGGCTGATTGCAAGTTCGCTTTTGGAAGGATTTTTGGGTGGCGACAATCGCATGTAGGGTTTCGCATGGTTTGGCCATGTGGCGACAATGTCGAAGTAAATTTGCTCGCAGGGGGGTCTTCATGAAGAGTTACAACCAGCGGTCATGTTGATGGAAAAGCTGCTTAAGCGCTGAGGAAATGCCAAAAGTCAAGGCTCTAGAAAATAACACCACAGTCGTATATGTATGATTATGCTACGCACAAGGAATATTCAGTAGAGTTCAGGCACTTCGCGCGAATGCCGAAACTTCTCTAGCTTCGTTCAACAGTGGCTTGGAGACTCCTTCACCAAGCCACAATCTCCGGGATTCCGCTGTTGGCATGGACCGAGCAAGCTTCGAACTGGAGAATAGGTTCCGTGCACTATTCGGTCTGTGCTGCCTCGGGTCCGATTTTAGGAACGAAACCCTGGATTGTAGCAGCACGCAGCAACGGCTTTTGACCTGAAGCCCCTGCAACCTGCACCTTCATCATAGTCATAGCGGTCTCGAAACCTTGTTCTACTCAGTCTAGCAGTCTAGCATCCGTCCTCTATGCGAAATGTGACTCCAGCTTCGCTTGAGTCTCTCGCACAACCCTGGCTGGGGGCGTGCATGAGTGGCTGATCCGCGCAGCTCTTGTCTTGTCTGTTGACGTTTGTGACACCTCCTTTGACGCCTCAGGTGGAGAGCGGATTCAATTCCAGGAGCCCCTAGTAGCTTCTTGTTCCTAGTAGTATTTCATGTGATGTCAAAGAAATATAGATAAAGTTTGCCGCATAGCCGCGTCCTTGCAACGGCACAAACATGGACGACGAGTTGCATCGATAACAGCTGTGCCTCTTGTTCCGTTTTGGGTGCTTCATAGTAGCTCTTAAGAGCTGCTTCCACATCCTGCTAGCACAACCGCAAGCTGGCGCAAATATATATAACTTATGTAACTGTCTAGAAAGTCTAGGAACACTTGAGTCGTGGGAAGAAACAACTTCGTGAGCCAAAAGTCCAAAAGTTGACAGAAATAAGAAATAAAGCCTGAAACTTGGATGCTTCGCTCCCGTCCCATTCATTGTGGCTCAAGAAAAGGCAAGCATCGCGGCAGCGGCAACCGGCCACGTCCTTTGAAAGGTTGCAGCATGCAGCTGTCAAGGTAATAAGTGTTTATGCAACTGTCCTGTTTTCTAGAGCTTTGCTGTAAAAAAAAGCTTCACAAGACTTGACATCAAAATCAACGGCTTTGCTCCGACTTGGCCGTCACTACCGCAAAGTTTGTACTTGGCATGAAGAAATGCGTGACGAATCCAGCGAGCGAAG